GGCTTTGTAGTATAGTTTCAAATTGGGAATTGTTACACCTGGTGCCATGTGACTGTTGCCTATAATGGCTTTTGCTATTCTAGGTCTCTTGTGGTTCCAAATGAATTTTTGGATTCTTTTTTCTAGTTCTGTGAAATATAGTGTTGGAATTTCAATTGGCATTGCATTGAATGTATATAGCAGTTTCGGTAGTATGGCCATTTTCACTATGTTGATTCTTCCTACCCAGGAGCAGGGGATATCTTTCCATTTTTTTATATCCTCTTCGATTTCTTTTTTCAGAGTGCTGTAGTTTTCAGTGTAGAGATCTTTTGTTTCTTTTGTTAGATTGATTCCTAGATACTTCATTTTTTTGGATGCTATTAGAGCTGCCTAATTTATACAATAACCACATCTGTGTATTCCCATGACCTGGCATCATCCGTATTTCATGTTTTATAACTGATGAGGAATTCTGTCAACTTTCTCAATTTTTCAGCCTGGATGATTTAGATTCTTAGTTAACTGAATTATAATAATCCAGAGCTTGAAACTGCTATAAAATAATCATCTCACTAAAGGAATTACCCTTCCTTTTAGGTTGTGTCCCCTCGGAGACTCAGAAGCACACTTCTGGAGTTGTGCACACCCCTGCCTTGGGGGCAGAGCCTGGTGGCAGGAGCAATGCATGGATCACAGACCTTGGGGTGCTTAAGAGCCACCCCATGTCCTGACGCAGGGAATGACCCTTCTCTGAATGCCTTTTGGCAACAGGGAATCTTTGTTTCCCTTGTGTTCTCTTCTTTGTCTTCTGAGCCGCATATCAATGTCTTACAGATACATAAATGGACACAGGGCTAGTTCTTCAGTCTTCAGTGAGTGAGTTCTCCCATAATTGTGATTAGGAAAAGGCCTCAGGACTTTCAGTTCCAAAACCACCCGTGTTTGACCTCTGGGAAGCTCTTTTCTGCAGCACCTGAGACCAGCCTCAAAGGTGGAAGACCCGGATGGCGCAAGTGAGGCTGAGTGTGGGGAGAGGCACTGCGCGTGACGTGTGCTGGAACACAGGCATGCACACGGCGGCCTGTGTGTGTGCACATGGAGTTGAGGTGCTCAAGGGTTCCTGGTAACATCTGTGCTGAGAACTGTTGTCCAGGTGCGGTTGGTGTGGGCTGACTTCAGATCACGTGGCACATTTATTAGGCCTGGGTCTAAGGTCAGCCTTCAAACACCTGCCACCAGGTAAGGGAGAAAGCTGTGCGCTTAACATCCGGGAGTGCTCAGAAGGTATTATTCCCTCGTAATTATGTCGCTTTTTGGCTCTCGGGATGAGCTCCAGAATGGGCGTGGGGCAGGGCCTGCTGTTTCTGTAAGAATCTTCAGGTGTTGACTCCAGGTGCGCCCAGGCTCTGCCACTCCTTCCAGTAGGCCCAGGAGACCTCCTTGCAGAGTCCAGAAGTTTCCTGGGACCCTGGGCGGCTGGGCTCCTCCAGGACCCCTCTGCTGGCTACAGCTGGGAACAGCGGCGCGAGAGGCGGCGCCGCCTGCCCCAGGCGCCTAAACCCGGCTCCGGACCTAGGTTCTGGCTCCCTTCCGCCTGGGGGCTCAGTTGACTCCGGGCGCCCAGGCCCTGCCACTCCTTCCAGTAGGCCCAGGAGACCTCCTTGCAGAGTCCAGAAGTTTCCTGGGACCCTGGGCGGCTGGGCTCCTCCAGGACCCCTCTGCTGGCTACAGCTGGGAACAGCGGCGCGAGAGGCGGCGCCGCCTGCCCCAGGCGCCTAAACCCGGCTCCGGACCTAGGTTCTGGCTCCCTTCCGCCTGGGGGCTC